TGAGTTTAAATTCCTTACAACATAAAATGGCTAATGTGAATGTGACAGCTACTATTGAACCCTACCGTAAGGGTATGCCTTTCGGGGAATGGGTAGAGCGCCTGGAGTTTTATTTTGCCTTGAATAAAGTTTCCATTGAGACTAAAAGGGCATACTTTGTAACCCTTAGTGGCCCAGTTATATTTCACGAACTGAAACTTTTGTTCCCGACTAGTAATTTGAATACGGTGTCCTATGACGACATGATAGCCAATCTACGGACCAGGTTGGATAAAACTGAGTCTGACCTGATCCAGAGACTGAAGTTTAATAATCGTGTTCAACAGCCGGATGAAACGGTTGAAGATTTTGTTCTGTCTGTAAAATTACAGGCAGAATTTTGTTCATTTGGGGATTTCAAGGACTTAGCTATAAGGGACCGCATCTTAGCAGGAGTCCGCGAAAAATCCCTTCGGGAACGATTATTAAATGAAGAAAAGCTTACTCTTGCGATTGCGGAGAAAATTATTGCGACGTGGGAATTAGCCGGCAAAAACGCAAAAAAACTAAGTGGAACTAACGATGACCAGTACGGTCAGATCGCATCATTGACGCAACCACTTCCAAAACCTGGATCAACCATGCAAAAATTGCTCGCAGTTTATAATGCAGCTAACGTGGGCACCTCGGGAACTCGGGTTTCACCCCGTGTTCCAATCAAAGATAGATTGGGACATAGGCTATACACTAGGAAATTTGATGATAACGTTAGACCGAGAGGACACTACTGGAGGGAGACTGAAAAGTTCAAGCCGGGTGGTTGGAGACAAAAGCCTAATTATGCGGACATGACGTGCAACTTCTGTGGTGTGAAAGGACACATCAAGCGGAAATGTTTTAAGCTAAAAAACATGCAACAAGATGCAGTAAATATGGTGGACCAGTACCAGCCAGGACCAAGCGAGGATGGCCGCATCGCAGATCTTTTAAGCCGAATGCGGACAGAGGACTCAGACAGCGACGAGTGAGAGACAGGTGGAAACGGAAACTGGAAGCGTTCGCCTAATGGCCCATCGAAACCAGCTGCGGAAGACTACTAACGCGGTGTTTTTAAGACCGAACATAACGTTGTCCAATCAAATTCCTAAGGTCCCAAGGCGAACCAGCCAATGGCTGAAAGCCTTGTAAATAAAGGAAAAAAAAAAAAAAAAAAAAAAAAAAAAAATTCCTAAGGTAGGACAATCAAATGGCCAAAACGAAGATCAGCTCGGAAGCCTTCCGGAGGAGGAGAAAAGGACAACTGGGAACAGTTTAAAGAGGAAGCATGCTGATGTCTTGTCCGAGTCTCCACTATCTGGATTAAGGCGTTCGAAGAGGAAAAGAACGGCGAATGTCGACAGTGACTTTCATTATGGTTAAAATTTAAAGAACTATTTTTTTTTCGAGATTAGTGAGTTTGTTTATTAGTGAGTTTTGAATTTATAAATTTTTAATTTGTTCTGAATTTGTTCACCATCGAAGATAAGCTGAAACCGAAAGAAGAAGAATATAAAAATTTGTTATAAGTTATATAATGATCTTTCTAATAGGGGAAGAACTGTAGTAGCCTGTCAAATGACAGTTCTGATCGTATACACATGAAGATAATAGAGACAAAAACAGTAGCGTACATATAGCTGTCTCACCTGAAAAGGTTTCTTGTAAATAAACATTCAAACGAGTCGGCACTCTAGTTTCGACCATCAACCTGAACACTTCAGTTTTAATCCTTAAACCTATCCGACGTCTAAAGCCCCAAAGTTCCAGTATAGTCCAGTGAGTGGACATAACAATCCTCAGGAAGGAAATAAAGTTCAGCACCCTGCCCCACATCCGCACTTCTATCATCGAGGCCGATAGTGTGGAAGTGGAATCACCAACTGGAAACGTTCGGTTTATCGCTGTTTACTGTCCACGCCAGTGTACCGCAAGCAACGGACTAGGAATCCAATTCAAGAACGATCTTACCGCCATCACGCCATTTTTTCTGTCGAATATAGGAGGCGCACAAAGATCTCAGCTCCGACGACCTGGTGGCTGAAGTCGGTGTCAATGTGGTTCCTGCTAGAAGCTACCTACGTATCCACCGCTCGACACCGTAGCTGACATCGACCGGGCGTTGGAAGGACTCCAACAGGCCATATCCGTGGCTGACGAGGCATGAATTCGACAAGTTCCTGTGAGGGATAAGTTTGTTGCTATTGATTTCCACGCCCAATTACTGATTCGGTGGAGAAATGTTCGTAGACGCCAGTTTCAGAGGACTTCCAGAATGGACACACTCCAAAATGAAAGTTTCACTCCAGACCATTATGGAAGGTATTCAAGGTCCTGAAAACTCATCCCAAACCCGTTCTACCTCTCTGAGTCGAAAATGATGACGATCGGCGTTAAATCACCCCACAGGAGAAAGCAAATGCGATCGGGGAGCATGTCGCATCATCGAATTTGCTTGGCTCGACAATCCAAAGCCCGCTGTGGCATTCTATTGCTTTGTAACCTGCGCTTGCACTAACTAGGCTCAGGGAAGCCACATTCAGCGTCTCCATTGGCAGCCACGTTTGCCCTCGATGTAATTAAATGCTTGATTTAGAGCTTCCAAGTCATGATTTTATGATTGGATGTGATAGTGAGTCATATGCCTGATAGAGTTTACTTTACTTTCCCCATAATAAATGTACGGGCAAGTAAAGTAAACTCTTTTTATTCATACGGACTATTGGCTTCGAGAACACAGCATGTAAGGTATTAGCAACAGTTTATTGTCACAGAAAGTTCTACTGTCCACAGAACTAAATCTGACAACATGATTATTGGTATAATTCCCATCGTTCCAAGTCAGGCTCAAGCGCATGATTAGTTCAATTTACAGCTTGATTCCATCCATCTCGGCCTTGGCCACGTTCTTCTCGACGTACTTGTTTTCTGGGTCGTACTTGGCCTTCAGGGCCTTCCATTCCTCCGGGCGGTTCTCGGTCAGGAACTTGATAGTCTTGGTGCTGGACTCATTCTGCTTCTCACTGCACTTGGAGCAATCGTTTTCCAGGGCATCGGGCAGGACACGCTTCAGTTCATTGCCCTCTGGGGTACAGGCTCCGGTATCCATCAGGCAGTTGTAGTAGTTCTTGAAGAGACGGTCCGATTTGAGGATCTCATCGATATCGATGCTATCGTACTTGGTGGTGTACTTGTCGTCTTGGGGTCTGGCGGCAGCCAGGGTGACCAGGGCCAAAGCAACGATGACGAATTTCATTTTTTGGGATTTGTTTTGAACACTGTAACAACAAGAAAAGGATATTTGAAAACAATGCTCAAAAAAGTTTTCAACTGAAGCCAGAACCTGAAACTCACCTTGATGCCTGAGCGAAGTAAAGTTGAATATACTTAAGTCAAGTTCCACAGCTGTTATTTATAGTGGCGTTGAGCTCTTCTTGTTTCCATCCTGCAGGATTGATTTTATCGCGAATTGTGTACGGTCGATCTCCAATCTGTAGATGATGATGTCTATTAGAAAAAAAAAATGCTCGCAAGTAGAGGAAGTCATCGTTCATGCAATCGGTTCCGACTGCAGTGAGTATACTTAATGTTTGGAGAACCGGTAATCGCTGAAAAAATTGACGTATCAAATGAGTGAGTCTTCAGTCTGGATGTGACGATGACGATGATACGTCAATTTGATTAAGTTAAGCAAAAAACAAATTTAAAGTACTTTAAAAAAAATGATTGAGTTCGACGAAATTGAAATTAATTTATGACTCATCCGTGATCGCATTGATTCAATAAGCAATAAGCGCTTCCTATTTGTGTGTTAATTAGACGCATGCACGGTCCAATTATCTTCGCCTCGTAGTATCAAACTGAACGCATTTGCTCTGGTTCGGTTCGATTTGATGTTTTTGAATTGGCTCCTTTCGCCTATTCCGCGGTAGGTAGGTAAAAGACTTTTCACTACTTTCATTATGAACGACTACGGTGATTTACGGTATTGTATATTGTATGCTGAGAACTTCCAATCCAAACGTCAGGATGCTGCTAGGCATAAGGTTGTCGTAAACTTATATATTTCCATTTGGGTGAGTCAACTACCCAACCTCCTGCTCTGCACCGCTTCTTCGATCTGTGTTGAGATCCGCAACAATTGAACAACTTTGCCAAATTTGATCGAATTTGGTTATGATCTGGATTTGCGATAGAACAATAAAGTTTGTATCGGTAATTGCATGGAAATCGGCACAAAACTTTTCATTCGCATGTCAAAAATTGATAAATTTTCATCAAACTTGGGACTTGGTTAGTTAGTTTTCCCAAAGTTGAGTAATTTTTGATTTTTTTTTTTTTTTTTTGCATACCATGAATAATTTTGTTACAATTATCATACAATTCCCCATACAAACCTTATAGCTCTCCCACAAGTCCAGATTATTCGATCAAATTTGGCATAGTTGTTGGGGACCTAAACACAGACCAAAGGAGAAGTTAGGAGCAGGGGTTTGTGATCCACCATACAAACTTGACCCACCCTAATGCCCGTCTTTCAAAAGAAAAACACAGACGTTTGTATCGTATGGGATGTTGTTACTTTGGTCTAGAAACGCTTCAGCTTATTGATTTTTAACAATCATCTGCGTCATCCAGACTTCAGAATGATTCACTTGCCACGATATTTTTTTTTTTTTGGCGCTGACTGCCCTGTTATACACAGTGCGCTTCATTTACTTCAATTGGCGTTGAGTGCAAAAGCGATGATTTCTTCCACACGCGATTTTTTTTTCTTATGATAGACAACGTCAGCGATAATTGCGAGATCGGATCAATAATATCCGCGGAAAAAGATCCCGTGGGTCGACGAACAGACAAATCCGCCCCTATATATAAGCCATTGAGAGACCCGAGATGAGTATAGTTCAATTGCTTCAAGCATCAAGGTGGGTTCAGGTTTAAGCTTGAACTGAAATCCTTTTGCGATTGTCTATATTCTATCTTACCATTTATTATCATTTTAGTTCAAATTAAATATTCAAAAATGAAATTCGTCATCGTTGCTTTGGCCCTGGTCACCCTGGCTGCCGCCAGACCCCAAGACGATAAGTACACCACCAAGTACGATAGCATCGATATCGATGAGATTCTCAAGTCGGACCGTCTCTTCAAGAACTACTACAACTGCCTGATGGATACCGGAGCCTGTACTCCAGAGGGCAATGAGCTGAAGCGTGTCCTGCCCGATGCTCTGGAAAACGATTGCTCCAAGTGTAGCGAGAAGCAGAATGAGTCCAGCACCAAGACTATCAAGTTCCTGACCGAGAACCGTCCGGAGGAATGGAAGGCCCTGAAGGCCAAGTACGACCCAGAGAACAAGTACGTCGAGAAGAACGTGGCCAAGGCCGAAAAGGATGGAATCAAGCTGTAAATGGGAATTATGCTCCGCTTGAGCCTGAACTGCAACGATGGGAATTCGACCTAACGCAATGATCGTTGATTTTGATTATCTTCTGTTATGCAATCCAAAAAACCATGCTGCTGCCGTCTTTGTAGTCGCTCAGAATCTGTTCTATAAACTCCACAGCAATCAACCTGTGTCAATAAATGCCTAGAAATTTATTAGTTGAGAGTGATAAGATGTTGAGTAATATCACAAACAATTTAAACAGTTTTCCCTTCCCAATTGATGTCGACATTTGGACAGAAGCAGTAGTAGACATTAGACTGATGCAAATTTTGACATTTTCGCTCCACAGTGCTCAAACAGTTCCAAATCGGGTCCTGATTAGTCTCCCAAAATTTGAACTCATTTGAAAAGAAACTGACTTCGCACAAACCATTTGAAGTTTATATGGAAATTAATATGGGAAAACCAAATGTTTTGTTCATATCCATTTAACAATTTACCATATAGCTCTGCTTTAAAAAATGATAACTGAGCTCGTAGAAAATTTTCTCAGCTACAACTTTGTCCTGAACCACTTTTCAATATAATGTTAGCATCAAAAGTTATCAATAATTCAAGCCACTAATGTCTTACGATTATGCTCAATCAACTGTTCAGCAGGCAACATTGGTGTTTCTGGCGCTTGGAATAGAGCACAAAAATCATGGCTACTATGTCACACTGCAAGATACAGTGTTGCTCACAAAACAGCTGCTTGATCATGCCATAAGATTATCAATCTCTTAAACAATTAATAACTATTTTATTTGACGTTTGGCTCAACAACTACATTCTGCTAAGTTGAAGCTGAGAAAATTTTCCATAAGTATAGCTTTTGAATTTTTGAACATTATCATATGGTAAAAGGTAAGAAGGCAATGAACAAAAAGTTTGGATTTCCCATAGTAATTTCCATATAAACTTCAAATGGTTTGTGCCAAGTCAGTTTCTTTTCAAATTAGTTCAAATTTTGGGAGACTAATCAGGACCCGATTTGGAATTGTTTGAGCACTGTGGAGCGAAAATGTCAAAATTTGCATCAGTCTAGTAGACATATATGTTCACGGTCCCAAGATGCGGTGATGAATAATCCAAATTAAGGACATTTTACGTGACGCTTGATTTCAGACTTCGATTAATTTTCATGTCCCTGAGTTCCCTGGTGGCCAGATTGTAACCAAATTCGTTCAAATTTGGCACAGTTTTTTATAACTTTAATACACATCGAAAAAGCAGTAGGGTTCAGGGGGTTGTAATTTGCCATATAAACTAGACCAGCCCTAATGTATATAATAGAATAATATTTTTGTTTAGATAAAATATATGGCTTGATTCAATTCCAAAAATCTCAAATAAGTCTCAGTAAACCTCTGAGATATTTTTAAAAATGATCTATTCAGGAGATCATGTATTATTTTTTTTTATTTCGTGTGAAATTTATTTTTTAGCACTCTAAAAGTTTTATACATATAAAAGAATTGCTCTAAAAAGATTGGCTGGACCAAACTCGATCGACACTCAAAAAAATTAAAGTAATCATTTAAACGAATTTATAAAACTGAATTCTAAAACGTGAATTTCTGACAAATTTTACAAAACTTCGTATGCCTCTGTGTTGGAAGATGAACAGCTTTTATGTATTGAGCAATATTTCATTAAATTTTGAGTTTTACAACGAAGACAGCAAACCTCACGTACCAAATAAAAAAATTGGTATCGCTGCGCCATCTGTGCAGGAAAAACTTGAACTTTTTATCCATGAAATTATAGTCCTAAATAAGTCAAGGAACTTTGCTCAAGACATCAACTCAATTGGATGCAATCCTAGAACGTTATTATTTTTGTTCAGCTTGATTTCATTCCTGACCAACTGCAAAGATATCTAATTAACAAGATATCCCACTAATCAATTCCCACTCTTATGTGATCGCAGTTCCATCTGGTGAGTGTGCATTGAAACTGTTAGGAGTTCGTTGCCAACTTCACTACCAGGGTTCAATAACTGACAGATGTCAACATGACAGATGTCAGCATGACAGATGCCAGCGCGGACTTTGATGATCAGCTGGAGGAAGAGAACGATATCATCCTCGATGTCAACATCAATATATAGCGATAGCAAGATTATCACTTTTGTGTGATTGCTCCGTTTCTCAATCTTTACGCAACAGCTTGTGAAACCAATCACACATCCAAGCTTGCTTTCGAGTGAAAGAGTTTCCAATATCATCACCGGTATCAGTAAGATGCAAATATCTAATAGTAACTGATGGTTTGTGAAGCTGTTGCTGAAAATATTCTTTATAAGCATACAAGTAATTATGGAAAAACATTCCGTCTCCCTAAAGAATTATTCGAAACTCCCCAGCCACTTGAAATGCCACGCAACGTAATCATCGCTACGCAAAGGCAGCCCTAAGTATGCACCTTTAGAATTGATAAAACGATCCATAAATTATTGAAAAACGTTCCATTAAACACATGAAAATGATCCATAAAACATCGGAGAAAATCCCTAAAAAGGTGTGGATGATCCCTAACAAATATTAATATGATCAATATTTTATGTAAAATTTAGCAATAAAATTGTAAAAATGTGCCGCTAAATTTCTAAAGAATGAGCATTGAAATTGTACGAATTACCCATAAAAATATTGTAATTGATCCATAAAAATTCAACAATGAACCTTAAACTAAAGAAAGTGATCCATAGAAAATCAAGCACGCGTACTTAAAAATATGGGCATGATCCATAAATTAGACGTATATTATTCTTGTTTAGGACACTATTTTTAAAATTTTGTTCCATAAACCTTGAAAAATTGCACCACTGCAGATCTACTTAGATTTACTGCCCTGCCCGTGTTTGAAGCGACGGGCAAGCGTCTAGAATTAGCTTCCAAAAGAAGATTCTATAATTATATTCTTAAGAAGCTTCATATGGAAGCTTCATTAAGAAACTTCTTTAAGAGGCTTATTCTAGACGCTCACCCATAGTTCTGCTTTTCTGAAAAAAAAAGCACGGGCCGAACAGTAAACCTGAGTAGCTACGCAGTTATGTAGCAATTTTCCAAGGTTTATAGCTCAAATTTAAAAAGGGTCCAAAACATGAAAAACATATGTATATCCCATAGACTATAATTGGAACACACCATAATAGGTACGTCTACCAATAAGTGGAACAGCTACCTTAGGTATGATCCATAAAATTAACATTTATTTTTCATATTTTCTTAAGTAGACTATTATAGAAACTTCTTTTGGAAGCTAATTCTAGACGCTTGACCATCGATCCACACCTCTACCTAAAAAACTACGGCAGACCAGTAAATCTAAGTAGTTACGTTTCATGGTTTATGGATCAAAATTAATAATATAGTATTACTCCTGCGTGAAGTCAACGATTTATATAGTTGATGATGCTAATTTCAAATAACAGACTGAAGTGGTAATTATTATACGATAGATGAGGAGATGAAAGTATAGAATTGATAGTTCCGTAGAAAGCGAGCAAGGACAACTTTAGGAAATTACAAATCGGTTTGATCATCTCTCTTTACCAAACTCCCCCGTTGACGAGGGATGGTGAGGAGTATTCCCCCCGCCACCACACTCAAATACCGACTATGTGTTTGAAACAGTTCTACTGATTTTTACCGTACTCCAGTTGTTATCTGAAGGAAGGAATCCAGTCGTAGGTTTGGAAATTGCAGCTATTGTTAATATAATATAGTGTCCAAAATGTGAATAATATACGTCTAATTTATGGATCATGTCTGTTCGGAATATCGGGATAACCCTGTACCGCCAACCCCAGCGACAACCCTGTGAGAGATTCGGAGAGCTACGGTAACGGTCACTGTCAGAAATGGCAGACGTCAGGTTTGGTTCAACGGAACTATAAGTTTAGATAGGTCGGAGTAAGAACGAGAAAAAAAGGATAAGTAAGTACAATTTCAAACCATCTACAACACGTTTTACAGCAAAATTAAGTTAATTGTCTAAGTGTGTTACTATACCTATCGTTTAATTAAATTGTAGTGATTTGTAGTGAATTAGCTACTGAAGTAGGTTAGTTGGAGGACGAATTTGTGAAAATATTTATTTTAATAACCCTATATTTGCTTTATCTAGATATTACAATTTGATCCTAAAATCTGGAAACCTTCCATTTGTTCCTAAACGCTATATTTATACTTGATTTACCCTAAGTAACTTGTAAGCAGCTCATTCTACATCGTTTGCGTGCCGAACTAAAATAATAATTGAATCCCTAAATCCTAAATCTTGCAAAATCTTTGTTCAAAGAGTGACGGAACTCTCGGTTTGAAAAATCTCCCGCTCAGCCTCCTATCGCTTTTCATGGAGGATTCTCTTCCTCCAGCGCTTTCTCCTTTGCGCTTTTCTTCTGCTGCAACTGGTCTAGGGATTCCTACAGGCTGACCTCATAGGTACTTCCTTTTCCAGATTCGGATCCGGCATCACTCCTCGCACTATTTATTCTTTCTGCTTGGTGGTTTCTTTGGGACAGACTTCTTGGTTCCTTTTGGCACCTTCAGCATATTTGTGCACTTCGAGCACATCTACGAAACGTCCTTTACAGCTGTTGTCTTACCAGCACAACTATAATGGGTCCAGACATCGCAGACATCACACTGGATCGTATCATCTACGTGGTAATGCCCTTCAAAAAGCGTACCGTTTTCGCTGTTCTGTTTTTCACTTAGGTTATATCCGATGTTGTTCTTCAAGAATGTTTGGATTTATGAAAGCAACTTCCTCAGAGCAGTCCCGTTTTGGACAGCTTGAAGCTGAAATAGCTTTTATTATAAGCATTAAGATTGGTTTAAATTTTATATTAGTTTAATAAAACCTATTTCAGCTTCAAGCTGTCCAAAACGAGACTGCTCTGAGGAAGTTGCTTTCATTAATCCGAACATGGCTATATTTTTAAGTGCACAAACTTGATTTTCTATGGATCACTTTCTTTATTATAAGATTCACTGCTGAATGTGTTATGGATCAATTGCAATATGTTTATGGGTAATTAAT